GGTTGCTCACTTGTGATTTCTCTCGTCTCTGGAGATGATGAAACTTCCCTGTTGCCACTTCGCCGCGTCCCAGAAGCTTTGGTGTGTCCTGCTGTCATTCTCATTCGTTTCTGTGCACCTTCTCATCTCACCTTTTACTTCTTCTTTGACCCAGTCATTTTTTGTGGTTTGTTGTTTAATCTCCAGGTATTTGTGGACTTCTTTACTTCATTTTTTGCACTTGATTTCTAATTTCAAGGCGCCATGGTCAGAGAATATGCTTGGTCTAATTCAGTCTTCTTGAATCTGTTGAGACCAGTGTTGTGACCCCACATAGGGTCTCTCCTTGAGAATGTCCCAGGTGCACAGGAGAAGAAGGTATAATCTGATGCTCTCAGACGAAGGGCTCTGTAAGTGTCGGTTATGTCCATTTGGTCTAGTGTGTCATTTAAAGCCGATATTCTTGATTTTCTGTTTGGATAATCTATCTCGAGCTGTCAATGGAGTATTAGGTCCCCAACTATGATCGTGTTTCGACCTGTTTCTCCCTGTAGCTCTGTGAGTAGTTGCTTTGTATATTCAGCGCTCCCTGACTGCATGCATAGACGTTAAGAAGTATTATGTCTTCCTCATGTAGTGTCCCTTTTATCATTATAAAACGTCCATCTTTTTCTCTTGTCACTTCTGTTATCTTGAGATCTATTTTGTCAGATATGAGTATGGCTACACCTGCTTTCCTGTGGATGTTACTTGCTTGGAGAATCATTTCCACCCTTTCACTTTGAATCTGTCTTTGTTTTTGCAGCTGAGATGTGTCTCCTGGAAGCAGCATATGGTTGGGTTTTGTATTTGATCCACTCTGCTCCTCTGTGCCTCTGTATTGGTGAATTCAGCCCATTACATGTAGGGTAATTACTGATGTAGAGGATTTCCTGTAGCCGTTTATCTTCTGTTCTCTGGTAGATCTGTGCCTCCACTGGTTCCTTTCTGTTGTGTTTCTGTCTGTCATTTTTGTTTGGTGGTATTCCATACTTCTTTCTCTTTTTTAAAGCTAAGTGCCTTAATTTTGGGGTTTTTGTGTGTGGTTACCTTTATGTTCATGAAAAATAAAGTTGCATATATATACTAGTAGGTTTTTATGAGTGTATCCGATCTTCATCCTCCTTTGCCTGTTCAGACCTTTACCCTGTGCCTTTTATGGTTTTATTGTCACAAATTATCCCTGTTTGTGCTGTGAGTTGTTAGTGATCTTGCTCGTAGAGTTGGGATCCCATTTTCTTTGTTTCAGTTAGAGTCACTTCCTTGAGTATTTCCTTCAGTGGAGGTTTTTATTTGGTGATAAAAACCCTCAGCCCCTTAGCTTCTGTATGCCTGGGGAAGTCTTTATTTCTCCTTCATATTTGAAGGATAATTTTTCTGGATATATTATTCTTGGCTGGTAATTTTTCTCTTTCAGTCATTTGAATATTTGGTTCTGTTTTGTAGAGTTTCTGCTGAGAAGTCAGATGACATTCTGATGGATGTTCCTTTGTAGTCACTTCCTTCTTCTCCCTGGCTGCTTTGAGAATTTCTTTCTTTGTCATTAATTTTTGACATTTTTTTAATCCTCATCCGAGGATATTTTTTCATTTATCTTCACATAGAATGTGAGGGAGGGGGAAGGAGAGAGAGAGAGAAAGGGAGAGAAAGGGAGGGAGAGAGAAACATCAATGTGAGAGAGACACATTGACTGGTTGCCTCCCGCACAACTCTGACCAGAGCTGGAACAACCTGCAACTGAGGTTCGTGCCCTTGATCGGAATAGAATCTGTGACTTTTTGGCCCACGGGCTGATGCTCTAACTGCTGAGTCAAACCGGCCAGAGCAATTTTTGACATTTTTAATACAATGTACCTTGGAGAGGGTCTCTTTAGATTGAGGTAACTAGGTATTCTGTTTGCTTCTTGGATTTGAGGAGATAGTTTTTTCTATAGGTTTGGGAAGTTCTCATCCACCATTTGTTTGAATAGGCTTTCCATTCTTTTCTCCTTCTCTTTATCTTCTGGTGTGCCTATTGTTCTAATACTGATTTTTCTGTTGGAGTCAGGTAGTTCTTCCAGAGCTCTGTCATTTTTCCTTTATGCTTTGATCTCTCTCTTCTTCCCTTTGTGTCATTTCTATATTCCTATCTTCTATCTCACTAATCCTTCCCAGACACACAGTTGGGGAAACTCCATGATACACTGCGTGTGATACACTGCCCATATCCCAGTGTCTTCTGGTTCTCACTGTGTGTGACAAGATTTCTGGTCCAAAAGAGATGTGAACAGCTGGCCATTAATCTCAGCACTGCACACGGGGCTCATTAAAGGGCCAATATCTGTTCTCTCTACTTGGGGAGCTGCTCCCCAGATTTCTGTAGGTCTCACTCCCTTACCCCTTTCCGGGGTGGGGACCTTCTGGGTGGGACCCTCCACATTCTGAGAATGTGTGTTCCAAATGTGCATCTGGAACTGGGTTACCCCAGGGAGCTGGGAGCCTGCCGGGCTCACTTCTGAGACAGAGCTGGGTCAAAACTCACTGCTCACTGGTGTGCACAGCCCATCAGACAGGTCAGTGTGAAGGTGTTTGGGTCTCTAAGCAGTGTCTGTGTGGAGCTGAGGTCCAGTTCCCCAACAGTGCCCCTTTCCCTTCGCCCAGAGCACTTAGCCGGCTCAGGCCGCAGCCCTCTGGGAGAGCGGGAAGGTCTGCTCTGTTCGCTGCTGCTGTGGATCCAGTTCCCTCCTCTCGGGGATCTTGGTCTCCCCTTTTTTTATTCAAGGTTGTGGGCCTGTGACCTAGCCTGATGTGGACTTCATGGCGGTGCGCGGATGTTCTGTGGTGGCGACCGAGTGAGGTTTGTGTCCACTTAGTGAGAGCTTGTGCTCAGGTGACCGAGAAGACAGCAGTCACCTCATTTCAACGTGGGGGTTGTGGCCAGGCAGCCGCGCCGAAGGCCTCTGCTGCCAGCCACACTGATGGCTGGGTCCGGCTGTGAGGGTCCAGGACAGCACGGGGGGCAGCAGTCCCCACAGTCACCTGCGGCCCTCCGCACAGAGCTCTGCACACAGGCCGGCACAGCCCCAGGAGTGCAGGTCTGCGGCTCAGAGACGGACATGCGTGGGACATGCCTGGGGCTGGGGGAACAGGTCTCATGAGTAAACTCGTGCTGCATTCAGACGTGGCTGAGACCAGAATACGTCCCAGGGCAGCGCTGGCGTTTCAGCTGCACCGAGGGTCAGCACTTTAGGGACCCGGTCTCAGCCGACCAGGCAGCACACACACTGAAGCCAGTGTCTCTGCTGCGTGCGGCCACGTCAGAACGCCCAGCATTATCCTTCCTCTGCCCTGTTCACCGCCCCGAGACCCCGCCTCATTGTTTGGGTGGATGTCATCCCGCTTCTTGGTGTGTATTGGACCTCCCTACAATTCTTCCTTTTCTGTGGTGCTTGCACTTGAACCGCTTTACAGGACAGAAGCACAGCGAGGTGGTGGGCGACCAGCAGGCCCCTCCCAGACAACCTGGGGAGGCTCGGCACACCGCGGGAGTTAGGCTGTTGGGGTCCACTGTAGTCTGCCCATGTGCCACCTGCCACTGAGCCTTCCTCCCCGGTCCTACTTAAAAGAGTAGCCTTCTTCCTCCCTGCTCTCCTCCTACCTTGCGCCAGTGGCCTTCTACCACAGCATGTAGTTTACTTCCTCCTCCTCCTCCTGGAATGTCGGTGTCTTCAGGCCTGGGATGTCGTCTTGTTCGTTCTCCTTGTCCCGTGCCCGGAAGACGCCCTCGTGGCACAAATGGTCAGGATGCCGGTACACATCTGTGGCATGGTGGGCTGGCTCGTTCGTTTTTCCTCTATTTATTCACTTCACACATACTGAGCACAGTGCTGAGGAATAACAGCAAGTGATAGACCTGAGAGTGGAGGTCAACAGAGAGAAGGATGGCTCGAGCCAATCTCCGAGGCAGAAACCCCCCAGCGCGCAGAGGGGGCCCCCGAGCAGTGGGTCTGTTGTCTGCGTGTGTGGGAAGCCCCACAGGTCACAGCCAGGGGGGGACGGAAGTCTAGCTTGTTTTCAAGTCCACGTAGCCGTTGTTCGGGGACGAGACCAAGCAGGGCGAGCTCGGGCGCAGGGAAGCTAACGTGTTCAGCCTCCACCTTCTTCCCAGACCCCAACCACCTGCTGCGTTCCTGGCACCTGGGTGAAGCTCAGTGCCTGGACTTGCTGTGGGACCTGCTACCATGTACCTGCTGTGTCCCTGGCACCTGGCTGAAGCCCAGTGCCTGGACTTGCTGTGGGACCTGCTACCATGTACCTGCTGTGTCCCTGGCACCTGGCTGAAGCCCAGTGCCTGGACTTGCTGTGGGACCTGCTACCATGTACCTGCTGTGTCCCTGGCACCTGGGCGAAGCCCAGTGCCTGCACTTGCTGTGGGACCTGCTACCATGTACCTGCTGTGTCCCTGGCACCTGGCTAAAGCCCAGTGCCTGGACTTGCTGTGGGACTGCGGGATGGACCACAGTGGCCGCCATGCCCGAGCTTCTGCACCTGTTCCAGTGGCATATTTGGGGTATGACGAGGGTGGCAGCCACCTCACTGCAAAGGACGGGACAGTAGTGAACTTGGCTTCCCCCAGTGCAGTGCAGAAGGTTGACTTCTCTAGCATCTTACGGTGTTTAGTCAGTCGGCATACTTTGGTACTATTGTTACTGATCAAGTTGCCTGGTACAGTATATATAAAACTTTAGAAAAACAGCTGTAATTTGTAACATTTGATATTTAATATAAATAGGAATGCATGGGATCTATAGAGAATTCTAAGTAAGTCCCAGCAATTTTACTCTGCAATCTATTTTTATAGTAAGCTATATTAAACCATGCTGTGTAAAAGTGTAACGAACAGCTAGTATATAAAGTTATTTATAGCTAGTATGCTTTACAAACTAAGGACTTTTTGTTTTAATTATATTTAATTATGCCTTTTATTTATGTTTTATTCCAAGTACCAAGACACGAATATGCAGGGAGTGGTGTATGAGCTGAACAGCTACATAGAGCAGCGGCTGGACACCGGCGGGGACAACCAGCTGCTGCTGTACGAGCTGAGCAGCATCATCAAAACAGGTGAGCCTCTCGCCTCTCGCAGCCGGTGCTCGTCCAGGGGCTGAGCCGGAGTCTTCCATCTCCTTGCAGAGACGATGTGCTTGCGAAGGGGCAGGCGAACATCATTCGTCCACGTCCATCCTTGGGCTACGTTTGAAGTGAAAATATTGTGTTATGAAACTACCATGTTTCTTAAAAAAGCATCTGCCTCGTGCTTAAATGGAATATACTATGCCTTCTAATTAAAACCTGGATTTCTTTGTATAGTTTTACTAAATCACATTCATACAAGAAATCATTAATTTTAAGGAAGAAGAAGCATTTTAAATTTATTTGGGAAGATGACCACTTTATATACTATTATCACCATCTTACTGATGAGAAATCTGTGGCCACGATAGGCCAAATATCTCCCCAAGACCACATGGGGAGAGCAGTAAAGTCGGGTTCAAGTCGGGGATTCTGCTGCGACTTCATCTGCTGAGGTAGTTGCCGCCAGCCGACCCGGAAGCAGTTTTAGAGAAGTTGTTTTTTTCAGGGATGATTCGTAGATGCAAGCAGAATTCTTTTTGATTGATGCTTATATTGGTTATTCAGTAGTATGAATATTAATTCTAGTATTTTTTAATACTTTAAAAATTAAACACAATTCTCAAGTTTTAAAATTTTTTCAATAATTCTGATGTTAAAGTTTGATAAATATGTTATCATGTAGTACGTGACTGCTAGATGATTTGAGGATGTCACACCTTAAAATTTGCAATGGCTGATGAAAATACGTAATTGGATAAAGCCATACATTATTTGGTTCACTTTACTGCATGACGATTAATTATGTTAACAAGTCCGCTGACAAGACTCAGTGCTGAGGTCTCACCTCAGAGAACTCACACGTGTTGTGTTCTTCTACTCAGATCAGTCTCTTCCTCTTTTATTACCTTGGCAGCCACAAAAGCGGATGGATTTGCACTGTATTTCCTTGGCGAGTGCAATAATGTGAGTATCTACATTTAGATTTTAGTGCTCTAGTTAAGAAAATGTCATAAGCTTTTTAGAAAAAATAAACTATTATGATAATGTAATAGATATATTATAATTAGGTACTTTTAACTCATCTTGTAATTCGTTTCTATGTGTGGTTATGACCAGCCTAGAATTTTACCAACATGGCAACATTTACTCATAAACTCTTAAATTTATTGATTGTTTTGGTTTGTGGTATTCTGTCTTACAAATGGTGTTTCTGGATTTACGGTTCTGTGCAGGTTACCGCATCACTGTGGGCATTCTGTACCCTCTCTGCACACAGTCTGCAGCAGAATAAAATGAGACAAAACTGCAGCATTTAAAAATGTGATTTTTTCCCCCTGGGCAGTGTGGCTCAGTTGGTTGGGTGTTGTCCCATGCACCGAAAGGTTGCTAGTTTGATTCCAGGCCAGGGCGGATGCCCGGGTTTCAGGCTTCATCCCTGGTAGGGGACATGCAGGCGGCAGCCACTCGATGTTCCCCTCTCACATCCATGTTTCTCTCTCTCTCTGGTAAAAAACAACAATAAAAATATTAAAAACATAAGTAAATACATAAAATGTGATTTTCTTAGAGGTTTTTGAAGGTGACTCAGAGCTCTGAGTTACTAAGAAGTAACACCCTGAGCTTCGGTGGCCGAGGTTCGCACCCTGTCATGGTGGGGGCCCCTCAGGAGTGCCTGCTCCCGCCTTCCTTCAGTGGAACGGGCCGGCTGTGTTGCTGGAGTCATTGGTGGGGACCATAGCCCACTGCCAAGGGGCAGCCTGTGCAGCGGGCAGAGTGTCTCATGACTGTCAGTCACTGACCTTTTAGCTTTGTTATGGTATTAAAAACACATACATACTTTAGAATTATATTCGGAACCAACGACACTTATATTCACAGCTTAAGTATACACCACTCAGTTCTAAATTTATTTGGCAAACTCTCACTGTGTATTTTCTATGTGTTAGGTGTTGGGGTTGGAGACCGGGGTGTCTTTTTGCAGGGCGACACTGTGTTCACCTGCTGCTCACGTTGTAAATGTGGGCGTAGACAGTGTTTGAGGGTTCTCGTGGTCTCGTGGACTCCGGTACGCGCTGGAGAGGGAGGTGCGCACAGCCGGACAGGCTGGACTCCTGGACCCGGAGGGATGCCCTGCCTTTCCTCAGCCCCGTCAGCTCTGCTTTGTGACGCCCTCACGGGGCTGAGAGGCCTTGGGGCCGAGGGCCTTCCTGATGCACTCCGCACTCTCCCAGCGTCTTCCAGGCCTTGCACATGGACAGCCACACACGTGTTCATGAAATGCAGCTGCTCAGATACCGCTGCTACTTCTGAACGCTTTGCCCCCGTGCCGGTGGTACTAGAAGACGGCTCAGATACGGAAGGAGCAAGTGCATCTCACTGTCTGCTTTCCATTCTGAAATTTATTTCTAAGCTTTTTGGGTTTTTATTAAAATGTAAGAATTCCTTTTAGGAAATTCTTATATAAGTTGCATTTATTCTTATAACTTACTGCCGTGTATTTTAGCTCAGTGTAATAGCGAGCCTGCCTCTCACGACTCCTTTCCTGGGGTCTCCAAGCCACCCGCAGGGTTGGCCATGGCTGGCCGGTGACAATCACATCACCCTTCCTTCAGTCACAACTATTTGTGACCCAGACTGGGACCATTCAGACTCTCTGCTGAAAACTGGGCCTTGGACTCAGCATTTCTGGCTGTTTACCTGGAAAGAAGTGATGTGGACCCTGAATCTGGGACTGCCCCTCTGCGGTGGCCCCTTTCTGCTCTCGGCGAAGGGCAGTTAGGAGAAGCTGCGCATCTATAACATCTGAGCTGTAATACTGTGTACATCAACCGGAACCCTCTCACTTGATACACTGATCTCAGTGAAGTAGCTCCCTCTGTGTGAGTTAGGAGACGCTGCGCATCTATACATCTGAGCTGTAATACTGTGTACAACAACCAGAACCCTCTCACTTGATACACTGATCTCAGTGAAGTAGCTCCCTCTGTGTGATTTAGGAGAAGCTGCACATCTATAGATCTCAGCTGTAATTACTTGTGTCCATCAACCAGAACCCTCTCACTTGATACACTGATCTCAGTGAAGTAGCTCCCTCTGTGTGAGTTAGGAGAAGCTGCGCATCTATAACATCTGAGCTGTAATACTGTGTACATCAACCGGAACCCTCTCACTTGATACACTGATCTCAGTGAAGTAGCTCCCTCTGTGTGAGTTAGGAGAAGCTGCGCATCTATAACATCTGAGCTGTAATACTGTGTACATCAACCAGAACCCTCTCACTTGATACACTGATCTCAGTGAAGTAGCTCCCTCTGTGTGAGTTAGGAGAAGCTGCACATCTATAACATCTGAGCTGTAATACTGTGTACATCAACCAGAACCCTCTCACTTGATACACTGATCTCAGTGAAGTAGCTCCCTCTGTGTGAGTTAGGAGAAGCTGCACATCTATAGCATCTAAGCTGTAATACTGTGTACATCAACCGGAACCCTCTCACTTGATACACTGATCTCAGTGAAGTAGCTCCCTCTGTGTGAGTTAGGAGAAGCTGCGCATCTATAACATCTGAGCTGTAATACTGTGTACATCAACCGGAACCCTCTCACTTGATACACTGATCTCAGTGAAGTAGCTCCCTCTGTGTGAGTTAGGAGAAGCTGCGCATCTATAACATCTGAGCTGTAATACTGTGTACATCAACCGGAACCCTCTCACTTGATACACTGATCTCAGTGAAGTAGCTCCCTCTGTGTGAGTTAGGAGAAGCTGCACATCTATAACATCTGAGCTGTAATACTGTGTACATCAACCAGAACCCTCTCACTTGATACACTGATCTCAGTGAAGTAGCTCCCTCTGTGTGAGTTAGGAGAAGCTGCACATCTATAGCATCTAAGCTGTAATACTGTGTACATCAACCAGAACCCTCTCACTTGATACACTGATCTCAGTGAAGTAGCTCCCTCTGTGTGAGTTAGGAGAAGCTGCGCATCTATAACATCTGAGCTGTAATACTGTGTACATCAACCGGAACCCTCTCACTTGATACACTGATCTCAGTGAAGTAGCTCCCTCTGTGTGAGTTAGGAGAAGCTGCGCATCTATAACATCTGAGCTGTAATACTGTGTACATCAACCAGAACCCTCTCACTTGATACACTGATCTCAGTGAAGTAGCTCCCTCTGTGTGAGTTAGGAGAAGCTGCACATCTATAACATCTGAGCTGTAATACTGTGTACATCAACCAGAACCCTCTCACTTGATACACTGATCTCAGTGAAGTAGCTCCCTCTGTGTGAGTTAGGAGAAGCTGCACATCTATAGCATCTAAGCTGTAATACTGTGTACATCAACCAGAACCCTCTCACTTGATACACTGATCTCAGTGAAGTAGCTCCCTCTGTGTGAGTTAGGAGAAGCTGCGCATCTATAACATCTGAGCTGTAATACTGTGTACATCAACCAGAACCCTCTCACTTGATACACTGATCTCAGTGAAGTAGCTCCCTCTGTGTGAGTTAGGAGAAGCTGCACATCTATAGCATCTAAGCTGTAATACTGTGTACATCAACCGGAACCCTCTCACTTGATACACTGATCTCAGTGAAGTAGCTCCCTCTGTGTGAGTTAGGAGAAGCTGCACATCTATAACATCTGAGCTGTAATACTGTGTACATCAACTGGAACCCTCTCACTTTCAGCACGTTTGTAACTCAGTGGAGGCCATGACATCATACCCTCTCCTGCTCCCTCTGGCTCCTTCAGGGTGCACTCCTGAGGTCATCTGATGTGCTCCACATGGTCTCTTCTGGGTCACTGACCCTGTGCCTCTGTCTCCCCCACATCTCGGTCAGCGGCCGCCATGGCATCAGCGTGTCCCTGGTGTCTCAGCAGGGCTCAGGGCATGATTCTAAGTTCCTCTGGTCTCCCCGAGTCAGGCCCACCGCGGTGTGCTCCCCTGGCACCACGTCTCCTTCACAGGTTCAGCCGAGTCTACGGTTACATATTTACCTGCCGTTTGTGTGATATTTTGCTTATTTGGCTTTTTCGGTAGAATGTAAGCTTCGTGGAAGCAGAGACCTTATTCCCTAAGAGATAAATTCGAGGATAGTTACTGTCCATTGTTGACTGTGTTTTTCCATTTCTGCTTCTGCGTGGGTAGTTAGGCCCTTACTGCCCCTTAGCCCGGATGTTCGTGGGTTGGAAGAAGACACGTTGAAGTCTGATGTTCTCGAAAATTTTCTTTCGATGTGCCCATAGCTACCACTTTCCTCCCATTTTCTTCTTGCATGTCAGCCCTTCTGTTTGGAATTCTGTCCTCTGTCTGTAGGATTACCCTGAGTAAGAATCAATGGTATGTGCCCCTAGTGGGAACCAAACCCCGGACTCTCTGGTCCACAGGCCAGTGCTCCAGCCACTGAGCCAATCCGGCCAGGGCTAAAAATTGTTCTTTTCAGGACTGTCAGATTATCTAATTTACCATATTGCTTGCAACAGATGTTGACATACTTCTACAATGTAAGCCAACCCCATAAAATAAAATAAAACTTTTTTTTTATACAAATGAGCAGATGTATATTTTTTTACATTCCTTCCTTTTGTACATGAAAATTAGCATATTATATGTTTATCAGTGTTTTTAAAAATTGCCAGTGGATTTTGATCTACAGTTAGAAAGCTTTTCTTTAAAAACTTACTTTCAAAACGAAATGTATATGCTTTGGTGACAAAATTACAACATGCAACCTACATGGACTGAGATAAACATTTAATCCAGATCAATAAATACTATGGATTAAGACAGAGATGGAAGGAATTATGAAATTCTTGTACTTATAAAAGTATTCATGTCTTTTTCTTATGAATGAGAATGAGTAGAAAAAATTTTCTGAAATTGATGTATTGAGAAACATAATTTTAAATAATATTTAAATATATCAAAGTTTCACTAGTAGAATTAAA